GTTTTGAAACGCTTCTCAAAACCTCACTATGTTATGTTCTATCTGAGATTTCTGACTTCGCCTGTTATCACATCAAGAAACTTATTTTCACGAACTCTTCAGTGTCCATCCCATGTTTTATGAATCAAGAATGGTGTATTCCTTTTACAATTCACAAATATCAGAATTTTACTTTTACTTACTTTACTTTTTTTTTGTGCTGTCAAACCACTTTTGTACTTTGCACATTTTCTTTAAATTTGCCAGGTGTCCCCCAGGTGTCTGTACTGGGGCCAAATCTTTTCATAATTTATGTAAAAGATATTTGTCAGCAGGCTCTATTAAAAGGATTTTTTCCCCCAGATCGTTCTTGTATGTTCTTGGGGAAATTTAAAGGAGCTACTAATAAGTGATAAACTAATTAAACAGTGCATTTGACCAACAAGTGATCGTTTGAGGACTCTTGTATTTGCCTCGATGTTTTCCATTTTTATTCTACAAAAAGAAATACTTTACTTTTCTCAACACTGTCCTAAACTAAGCAGTGAAGTACATTTTACTCAGTCACCCAGCATTACAAGCAAAATGATTTACATCTGAGTGCATTAAGGAATGATAATCCCGTACAATAGAAATCATATTTTAACATTAGTACAAGTTATTTCATACAGTGAGTTACAGTATTATTCATTCTATCCAAACTGAAAGTGCAGTTTATTACTGATACATGCTGGTGATGGTTTAACCTTTGAATTTCTTGATTTTATTAAAAGTACATTTTATTGTCTCTTTCTTGTACTATGCTGTGTTTAAAGTGTCTTATAATTAATTTTGCCAGATCTAATCTCAGGTCTACAAAGCATTTGTCATTTTGCAAATCTTTGTGAGAGCTTTAGATTGTTTGGCACTTATCCTTTCGTGTCCATGGCCTTCGTGCGCATATCTTTGACTACAATTGCTGGAAATTCCTACATGGTATAAATTTCCTTTATACAGATTCCAATAAAAGGCGGAAAAGCTCAACAATTCCATTTATTGGAAAAACAGACATAACACATGAATGTGACCACAGTTCTAACAGAACAGCATTTCTGATATTATTTATTTATTTAACCACCCAATGTAAAGGTAAAAAAAACAACAACTGTAACATGTGAGGACTGCCACATTTACTTTAGTAATGAATTTAGGGGAAAAAAACAGTTTACTTCCACCATTGCATGATCATATTTTGTTGTCATTGTAGCAGCTCCCACAGGTAAATGGTGTAGTTGCACACTTATGTTAATTAAGTAATGATGAAAGTTTAGTGAGTCATTTCATTATTTTTACAGTGCTATTTGATGTCCTGTTTTTCTGGTGTATTTTCTCTGTGAGCATGCTCTGCATATACCGGCCTCAGTCTGTATCGTTCGAAGCTCATGTTGTCTCTCTGTGCTCTGGTCTTGTGCAGGCTGTGTGAGCGTCTGTTAGGAGATTACAGCAGATTAACATAATCCTGATTGAGAGAGCAAATCCAAGGTGCGCATCACTCTCTCTACAGGGAGGGATGAGGCAGATTGCCACATCAGTGGGATCGACACAAGGCCAACAAACATCGTGAAAGCTGTGTTTATAGTGAATATTGCAAAACTAGTGGTGATGTTTTTGAGTTGAAGTTGCCAGTTGGTATTTTTTGCTTCTAATTCTGTAATTCTGTGTTGTAATATGTGTTTTTCTTTGCGTAACTGACGCCCACAGAGTTTGTTTTTGTTATACTGTGCTCCTGTGCACTCCTCCTTTCCTTTGTGTTGCTCTTTTCAGTCCACTGATCCCAGTGAGGCCAGTGCATACCACACTTGTTTGTGTTTCTGGCCTTGCTCTGTCTTTTTGAATAAAAAGCAAATGACTGCAGGTTTAATACACAGCCTATTTCCTGGTAATGTTGTATTTCCTCATTTGAATATGCATAGTGGACCTCATCCAACTGTTCTGCTCCCCACTGACATCAGGATTTCTCCTGAGTTTCAGCTCTTGTCTCTTGGATGCACTGAATCTGAATTACAATTTCATGCAAACGTTCAAGCTAGATCCTATCCTGGCTTTGGTGATTTCCACTGTGAGGCTAACTTTGTGATCTGCAGTGATTCGACAGATTGCCGTGGAATTTGGCATATTTTCCTCTGGAAGAGAGCTTCAGTGTCTTTCAGCCCCAAACTCTGTCTCATGGAGAAATACACTCAAACTAATGACACAAATATCTGTCTCAGCTCTTTGTGTTGAGTACTAACAATGTAACAAATATGCTAACACAGTTAGCTAAAATAGCAATGGTGACAGGCACTATAGCAGCTAACACAAACGACACACAACCTCAATTCAATAAAAGTCAGGAGCCTGTGAGTAATGTAAAAAAACAGAACGTAAGGATTTATAAATCCCATAGAAAACATATCAAATGTTTAAACTGAGAAAATGTATCATTTTAAGAACAATAGTTCATTTTGAATATGATGTTAGCAACGTGTCTGCAAAAAGTTGGGCCGGGGGCCATGCTTACCACTGTGTAGCCCCTTCTTTTGAAAAGTCTGTAAACATTTGGGAACTGAGAAGACCAGCTGTTGGATTTTTTAGGAGATGAATATTGTCCTATTCTTAGGACTAGTCTGATGGAGGATTCTCACTGCTCAGCACTCCTCTTGGTCTTATTTTTCATTTTATGATATGCCAAATGTTATCAGTTGGTGAAAGATCTAGGCTAAAATTCAGCACACAGACTCTTCTACAGCCATGCTGTTGTAATACGTGTAGTATGTGGATTAGCATTGTCTTGCTACTTATGCATAGCATTCCCTTAAAAAAACATCATCACAATTGTAATATATTGTACTCTAAAACTTGATATACACATGTCAGGGTTGATGGTGCTTTTCCAGATGTGCAAGCTAGTAATTCCATAGGCACTGATGCACCACTATAGCATCAAAGACAGAGGCAGAGTGTTAATAATAAACCAGGTGGTCCCTCTACTCTTTAGTCTGGAGGATTGCATATATTATTTGCCTATATTATATTATATAATATTTAATATTTTGATGTAGACTAGAAATTGATGTGAAAAAAATCATGCACCATTCATTTCTTATAAATTTTATTTTGTACCAGGCTCTAAACGTGATTTCAGGCAAATTAACATGGAAATCGATGGAGATTGACTAACTCCTTGAACCTTTCAGTGCAGAATTAGTTTTACTTCTCCATATTGTACCTGGCAGGTAAAACGACTTCAGGCTTACTACTGTTACAGTAATCTGATTAGTAAGACTCAGATTAAACCACTGCACACCACAGTAAGAGACCAGCACTTTCCACCATCACACAGTCAGTGGTTTGTTCACAAAGATTTTGTCCAAAAGTCAGTGACAAATGTGTGTTTGTGTTTATTTAGGATTTTGTCTTCTTATTGAACTTAAATCTAAAGACAGAACAGGTGGATGTGGCATTTTAACAACATGAACAGTGTTGTGTCTTTTGTGACTTTAAGGATTAGAATTTGAGATCAAAACTTGGTCATGAGGTAAAAGCAGAAGCAGGCCCGAGCTTCTGTTTTTATGCAAATAACGTATAGACTACAGGGTGTTTAAGTTCATCTGGCTGACAGGCGACACATTGTGAATGTCTTACATGGCAGACGTAGTGCATAGGGTGCAGCATTCATAAAACACAGATCCACCCTTGGTGAGGACACTTAAAACATTCCACATCAGTGTGCTGTCTTTCCAACTATTCAGAGGCTTGTAACAACAAGCGCCTGCGTGCAGAAGCAACACGTATACAAACAGTGAAATATCTCATTAAGCTCTGGGTGAAATACAGCATATTTTGTCTTTTTATACCCCAATATGACAAACACTCTAGAGAACATGTAGTACAAAAACAAAGTATCTGCATGATGTTTCCTATGCACAGTTTGGCAAACTCGCTCTGCAAGTTTATTCTACGTGATTTATTACAGAAGCATACGCTGTGTGCCTGACAAATGTTAAAGGGTTTAATGTTGCGGTTGAGCTGGAGATTGTTGCATTTGGCGAAAGGTTGGATAAGCCATGGAAGGGTCGCCACTGTGTCACAGTGACAGACCACCATTCACACCTAATTTAGAGTCATCAGCTAACCTAACCCCACTAACTGCATGTCTGTGGACTGTGAGGGAAAGCCAGGGTACCCACGCAGACGGTGAAAGAACATCAAACCGCCCACAGAACGATTCCACCTGGCCAGTGCATTTAAACCCAGAATAATTACGCATTTTAAATCTCTGCATTCATCATGTGAATTTTGCGCAAGAACTAAATAACTGTTTGAGAGGCAAAGAGAGAAAATACGTCCTCGGTACTTTGAAATAGCTGGAAATGAACAATTATTAATTTATAGGCGCTGAACTGAATTTTAAGACAAAAAGAAGAAACAATTCCCCTTGTGAGGTCAGCACAGGGGTTTGTGCCTTAATACTGACAAACAATAAAAGTTCAAGTTACAAAAAGCTGCTGAATTTTTTAAGTGGAAGAATAAGTTTTATGGCTTGCTGTGGCAAACATCCCATCCACTGTGAATGAAACTCGAATTTTTTTTACTAGTATCCAAAATGTTAAAGTTTAAAATGCACAGTCCAAAAACCCTGTGGCTATATCCATCTTCTATCTAGTCTATGATACAGCTAAGAGTTCAGACTCTATTGTGTCTCCTCTTCTGCTTTCAGTAAAGTAACACAAACAGCACTAAAACAAAAAGGAGAGAAAAGCTATTTTGCAGCTACTAAACTGATTCTATTTGTTTGTGGTAATTGTATCTTTAGACCTTACATCATTGAATATCTGTCACATTATCTGTGACTTTGATAAGGCGGCATCATTCATCTCACACTCACAGATGTATCTCTAAAGAATGCCCGATTGCTTTTCCCAGGTTCAGATCCATGTTTACGCACTGTAGGCAAGTGTGGTGAATAAAGTCCACTCAGTTCACAGGTGCTCCGTCTCATTTCAGAGTTTGTTTTATTGATTTAACAACAGAACACACAGAATGTGTCTGGAATGTGTCTGTGTTTATTTCCAGACACATTCCAGCGACAGTAGGCGGAGGTTTTGTGGAGCGTTCCAACTGCAGCTGGTCGACATGTGTTTATCATCATTTCACATCACACGTGTGATAGCAGCGATCTCCTGCAGCTTGATCTCTGAGGATTTCACATTCTGTGCGTTGAAGCCACATGATTCAAACATCGTGCATTTAAATTTAATGACACATATTTTAAAATGCAATTTCACCGGCTCTGTCCTCACAAAAGTGTAAGATTCGCTTCTAGTATTGTTTCTAAATGATTACTTGGGGACATTGGAGTGTTGATCAGATCACTCACATCATAGTAGGCTCTGAACACATGAAAGACATTTTCAATATTGTTATTTAAAAAACACCATTAAAAATCTTTGCTATACTAGTCAATTATGACAAAAATGCCAATAATGTCATCAAAACAAAATACTGGATCTTGGTTGGAACTACATGAGCAGTTCTCTCATCAGCAACGCTGCAATAAATACCTGCAAAGTCACCCTGTTCCTGTACACTCCCATATGTGTGTTTAGGTTAATTTTGGCAAACAGTTCACCAATTAGCTCAGGAATGTGAGGACTGCTGCGTGCCCAAACTGAGAAGTAGCTGTTGTCAAATTACAACCTCGGGGTCTGTGTTTGTGTCATTCCTCAAGAGTGGCTCAGGAACTGGAGCATGTTTAACAGGAGCTTGGATCAGGAGATGTCTGAGTGACATTCGTCCCCCTCTGTGACTTTTTTTGCACAACGTACCCCAGGTTATCCATATTAAAACCAAATGAAAACATTTCTCCTGTATGAAAATGTCTCTTTGCCTCTACGGAGAGCACAAATTCTCAGTCTGTCATGTTGTATCACATAAACTCAACACGGATCTGGCCTTTTTTTGACATGCAGTGTCAGTCAGGTTTCTAGCACACAGGAGGAGATGTGTTTCATACCTTTAAATAAACACAAAACACATGGCTGGCATTACTAGCCTGCAAAAGCAAAACAGTTGAAAGGAACTTGAAGAATTCAGCTTTGAATATTTCCCCTCTTGAATCCCATGTGTAGAAAGTCCATGATGTTGGCCACTCATCTCATTAAAATGTCAACATGTCCTGGATGCTCCACGAAAGCTTCTTACAAGCCTGAGCCACGCAGGTCTCCGACAGCAGGCCAACACAAACGGCCATCAGCGACAGACGTCTCCTGCTGTTCAGGATCACTGGAGAGGAGATCAAATTATTAATGCACACCCTTTTTACATGCTTGCTGTGTTATTGGAGTAATCTGGAGTAACACAGAGAATGTGCAAACCAAAATAGTGTGAACTTAAATGGTGAGAAGCTGAGAAGGCACCTGTTATGTAAAGAAAGGAAAAACGGCCACACAAGCTGGACGTGATGCGAAATTAAGCAGTAAGAAAGGTGAATTCGATACTTTGTTCACTGCTCAGAGGCTCAACGCCAAACACGCAGATTTTTGTTTCCACAGATGCTGAAGAAATAATGACATGAAAACCAGAAACATGGACCTAAACCTTTGTGTTATATAATACGTTTATCTTCAAGTGCTGGGTCCTCTGAGGTCAGGATCACAGCAGCAGGGAGTAAGCTGCCAACTGCTGATGCAGAAGCAAAGAGGGCAGAAGCAAAGCTATTTGATCAGCAGTGGATCTCTTACCTCTGATCGCCTGTGAATTTGAGGTGAGCACAAATAGTTTGATGAGGCCCAGGCAGAGCGGGGAGTAATCGTGCTCCCAGATGACAGCGGGGATGAGGAGGACTTTGCCGTAGCACGATAACAGCAGGGCTCTGAGGAGCAGGCAGAGCTCCATGGTCTCACCCTGCAGGCAGCAGACCACCACCCAAAGGAAACACAGCACTCCGCCACAGAATGCTGACAGCTCTGAAGGTCCAACAGAGACACATATATAAGCCAGATCATGTAGCTTATATACTGAAGATACATGAAACAGGAGTCAGTATGAGAAGATGGAACCTGGGTACTCAGGTCAGCCACAATCAATTGGGACAAGTAGGTTACCCATGTGACACAAAAATATTTTCCAGTAAATAATATAATTTTATATGAATTAATGCTGATGACACTAAGTTGGTGTCAGTGATGAATTTCACACAGCTTTTAGTTGTAATCATAGATGTGTATCCTCATGTCTGGATGTTTTCCATATAACATTAAGTGCTTATAAGCTTATAAAAGTCAAAGAATAATTCTCTTTGCAGTTTTGGAAAATAATAGGCAATCTAAAGATGTCATATCGGGCTCTGTGGCATTATGACAACTATTATTCATTATTTCCTGACTAAATAAATGATTTAAAGAGCATTTTAACTGATATTAGAATAATCTTAGTTGCAAGCTGACCCAGAATAGATTCACAAGTACTCGTATATATGCAGTTGCTCAAAAATATCCTTCCTAAGACAATACAAATCCAATTTAAGTAATAATTTAATACTTTACTCAACTTCCAGACACCGTTAACCCTCACGTGCTCCTATTTCATTGATGTTTCCTTTGCTCTGTGATAACACACTGATAGAAACTGTGTCTTATCATCTTACCAAGAGCAGCCAATCCAAACATGCCGTAGAATTCCCATTCCTTTGTGTATCTGATTATATCAGCAGGGTCACTGCTCTGCTCGGAGCCATGGAGCATGGACCACCTGAGGTAGGCTTCACACAGCAGGGAAAACACACACAGCTTCCAGTGGATCTGCAGAGGTAAAGATTAACATGTAGAAACACGTGCATGCTGGTCAGAAGTCATGATAGCACCTGCACAAACGAATACGTGCAAGCCAGGACACACAAAGCACAAATCTTTATTAAAGTTATCACTCGTGCAATAAAGATAAAGGTGTCATTTCATCTGAAACTATCACATTTTCAGAATTTTTTTTTGCTCAACCATCTCTGATTTGCCTAGAATTGTTTTTAAATGTGTGTGTGTGTGTGTGTGTGTGCAGTTCCTTTTTTACAGGCCCGTTCACCTACTTTTAAGCCTTTTCCCCCACCTTGTAATCTAAGGCAATACTTGAACATGTATATCCATTAGACTATTAAAGATACAAGTCACTGGTCTCTCTTACCATCAAAATGAATCAGGATCTGTAATTTAGGACAAATACCTAAAAAGCCAGACTATTAACTAGTTAAAATGTGAAAACAAACAAAAAATAAATAAAACGGAAGCCTTCCATTAAAGTTCCACATTTGAACAAACACTAATAAAAAAACTTCAAACTACAAAAGACAGCAAGTGATAATTTATTAGACTCTTCTAAGTCTTGAAATGGTAGATACAGCAGGTCTTGACAATGAAAAATCTGAGGTATTGTGAAATTAAATTATATACCATAAAGAAATTGTCACTACTTGTTTTTTGCAATGTGAAGGGGTTCTTTTTTACCTGTAAAATGAAAATGCTTGATTTTGTTTTTCAATTATTAACCAACATTGAGACATTTCAATGTGTCTGTAATCTGTTTGTTTGTGGTGAGAGAGGCCACTGAATAATATTTTATATATGAAGCTAAAGTTTCCCAAACTTTAGATCATAAAGTTAATATGCAGATCAAAGATGGTCAAGCAGAATGTCCATATTGTTTTGCGATGTAATGACCCATAATTTGCTTACATTTAGTCTTGTGTTGAACAAAATGTGCCTGAAAGCCTGTGTCTTGCACAAAATGGCATCGATGAGGATGATGACTGGGTCATATTCAATGTACTTGTCCACTGGCTTCTGGCAGGACTCCTGGAGAAACACACACGCAGAGTTTATGTCAAAGCCCTGCTATAATGTCTCTCTTTATATCACCTCCCAGATCTACTTTAAGAAGCACGCAGTCCATGTTTAGAAGCTGGCTCCAACTAAGGCGTGATGGTGATCGCTGTAATTAACATCTAAGACATGAAGTCCAAAGTTTGCTTGTTTACTTGCTATTCAGTAAAAAGGCCAGAGATCAGTGCACCTGAGAGCAAGACCTCAAAAAGAAAAAAGCAGTCACCATTTCGCTCATAAACCATTTAGCAGACAAGTTATTTCACTACAAATGTGTCTAGTTGCAACAGGAAAAGGTAGGAAGCTGTATGATATCTGGTAGGTAGCATCCTCATCGCACAAACGGTGTGACTTTCCAACGCACACATATTGTTATCTTCAGGATCCCGTTGCTGTAATCCCTGTGGAGTTCCGCTGCTTTTTCGTTACATTCAATACATCTAAAATCATCTTTTCCCATCTTTCATCTCTACACAGCTACGAGTAGCATGCTAGTACCCGGAAGTAAACCGGTAATAATAATGATTCTCAATATTTCAGTGGAACTCCTTCAAAATAAAAGTATGTCTTTGCCAGGTTCTGAAGGAGTGTCAAACGCCACTGAAATACTGCTAAATGACCTTGCAAAAACAGGAAAGAAAAATAGGAATTGTGAACAAGTAAACCTGATAATAAAAAAGCATCAATGGACACAAACCTATTAATATTATTTGATAGATTGGTAAAATATATTTGATTAAGATGTCTCGAGATAAATAAGTGTGGTTTTAACAATGTATGTTTTTTCACATTTACTCCGTATGCTGTCTTTACATGAGCATTGCAGTTTGAGATCACAGTGGAAAGGCTCAAAACCTTCAAAGATTGTCAAACTTAAAAGAAGACCATTGTTTATGATTCAAACAACTTTTCTAGATTTAAAAATAATTACATTTCCCCCTGTTTAGTAATGCTGGATAACCATGAAAAGTTAGTATTGCATCAACTGAACTCTAGCTGTCTTCAATACTTTGCATCCAACTCATTCGGTGCCCCAACCTATATATACGACACTGCTTTTCCAAGTTAAAGTGCAGCTGACAGTGTGTGTTGGAGTGAACCTGTTTTCACGCATGCAATATATGTTTGTTTTTGTGTTTTCTTTTGTTTTTATGTAATGATAGTTTTACAGAATATGATTTTACTCTGTCCAGAGGTTGAATGTATATGGGTATATTCACTGCAGATACTTTTAAAAGAATATACAAAGAATTTAAGCTCTTTTCTCAATATTTTATGTTGATCAAGCATTTTATGTGGATGTGGACAGGACTAAAAATTAATACATCAGCTGGACAGCTCAGACTAAGCAGTTTGGAGAAAGATTTAGAGAGGCAAGGCACAGCTTGGACTAGACAGGAGAAGAAAAAGCTGTTTTCTCAACATAACTGACCAAATGTAAAATTAGCTCTACCAACCCTCTACCCCTATTTAAGTACTTAAATGCACTACTACTGTGCAGCTGCCCTATGAATAGCTTTTATTCTGATTTGTTTCATTGCACTTTGAGACAGAAGAGAACATTATACTATTGCCTACGATGTCAGAATTGGTTTATGAAGACAGACTGCATACTCATACTGTTGCGAGTTGCGACTAACCTCAAACCACAGATTCAGCCCATCACAATGTCATACGATTACCAGTTATTGCATAAAGCTGTGGATCATGTGAAAAGACTGACGTCTTCATTTCATGCGACATTGCTGTCTGAAATAGTAGAAGTTGAGAGCTATATACGTGACACTAGACCACAAGGGAGTCTGATGGGGTGTAAATTCCTCATACAAGCTAAACTGGATTGGGAAGACAGGATTCCACCCTTTACAAAGGCATGGCATGCAGGTCAACTGGTCAAGAAGTGGAGTACATACATAATTTAAAAATTAAAAAAACAAATTTAGAAAAATGTAAAAAAAAATAATTCGCGTTGTCTAACCTTATAAGTTATAACAAAACATCTCCTTTTGATAAACAAATTATCCTAGAAAATTGCCTATACTTTTATATTGAATCTCATAACGGAAAACCGTGATTTCTGGCTTGACGCTCGCGGAACCGGTTTGTTTCCCAACACCGCGGAGGGTGTTGGGAAATGTGGTTTAATAGCTCCCTCCGTTTTGCGGGCTTCTTGTTCGCGTCCCGCAGATTCGCGCGTGAGGGGGGCGTGCCCGTTTAGGTCGAACTGCGGCAGCTTCCGCCCTGTGGCGTCACACATGTAGCACAACATGGCCCCTGCCAGCCGGGCTGTTGTTGTGGTAGCTCTCTCACTCTTGTACCTGTGCCGGGCGATTTTCTCCACCGAGTTCTTCTCCACTCTCACTTTATTCAACAACGACCTCCACAAACAGGGATGCAGCTCGCTGTCTGAATGGGAGGACTACGCTGCTGACTGCGGTAAAGTCTGCCTTTTCGCTGTTACTTTGCCACGTCCTCTCTGATACAACTGTCACTTGGACCCGGCTAGCCCAACCGTTTAAAGGCTAACGTTAATACGCCAATAACAGTAAGCGGTGACAGCTCGAAGGGATCATTAAGAGTAGCCTTTCCTGCCTCAAAAATAGTCTTTTTTTCCGCCAAATATGAAAGAAAACAGAGTTCAAACACAGGAAGTGGAGTTCAAGTGTAAATAACTGTAAAGAAACTTAAAAGTGCTTATCGAAAAGCTCACTTCAGTCAGCAAACTGTATGTTTTACCTTAAACAAAGAGAAGTAAACCATACTCCAGCCAAAGAACGCGCAATTTAATGTCGTCTTCTGCAGCAGTAAAATAAATATTTAAAGAGGAAAACTGAAAAGTTTTTTATAATTACAATGTCCTTTCGCTGCATTCGGCATGTCAGTAACTCACCCACTTCTATAGTTAGACTGACCAAAGCTTGTTGCAGTAACTATAACTGAGCTAAAAACCTATACAACGTGTGAAAAAGACATTTTAGTTCATTGAAATATTAATTAAAATTAGAATTCTGAACAAAAAGACAACCAACTGTAAATGTGTTACTTTCACTTGCTTAAAAACAAAATAAAAAGGAACTGACGTAAATTTACTTAGATTTGTCATTAAAGTGTTTTGTGTTCAATCGACTCTTAGTTGTTTTTTGTTTTTTTTCCCTACAGTCTTTAGTTTACCAATACAAGCCTTTCATCTCATTGCCTGTTTAGATAGTTAAATGTAAGGAAAAGCAATGCGTCACCTGACTGGTTTGTTTTGCATGATGGCACGTCTGACTTTAGAAGAAGCTAAGATAAAATCTGTCTGTCTGTATGTAGATGAAATGCTTGTTTACTTTAACGCAGCCTTTAAATTTGGCAGGTTTCCTGTAAATGTTGCTGCAGGCTCGCAGTAGCCACCTCATCTCTCTCTAGCAGCAACACCTGCAATATGCAGGGGCGAGTCCTAAACATGAGCCCAGCATGTACTCCACTAAGCTTCAGTTACTCATTATTTTTATATATAGGATAATAAAAAATTATATCTACTGATAACATGTGAAAATTGATAATAGAAAAATGTAGCACGTTACATTACATGTTAACTCAATGTGCTTAACATGGAATATAAGGCCCATTAAAAATATACAAGGGACCACTAAGAGCCTGATCTGCTGGCTGCTGGGGGAAAATGTTATGTTTGATACCAGTTAAGAGTCGCAACAGCTGAATACAGGCGTGTAGAGATGGGGATTTTCTTGCCTACAAATCAAACCAAAGAAGCTCTGCTATATTGCTGAAGGAAATTTAGCGGAACTGTAGCAAAAATATTGTTTAGTGCCTTTAAAAAATGTGTCTTGTTTTCTCAAGCATAAAAATATTGTTTTTCTTCATCTAGTGTCCATATTTAACTGAAAATTAAGGTAATGGAGACTGATATGCTGAACAATGCTTACATGCGTTTTCATACATCCAAGAAAAAGCCTATACACAGACCATTAAAAAACAACTTTAAATGCTAAACTCTTTACCTGCATAGTTTGTGTGTGTGTTTCTTAAGTTAGATTCACTAAAATGTCAGAATGCCTTTTTGTATTTGTAGCGTGTACCAAACAAACATACTCTTTGCCCACGTTTAGTTTGTTGGAATTATTACGGACACCTCTTGTTTTCCCTGTGTCACTGCATTTAGGACAGAAATAATGAGAGATAATATAGTTGTACAAGTTGAAATAAACAGATTCTTAATGATTTGTGAAATATGAACCACGACATTGTTTCTTAACTTTTCACAGTGTTTTGCTTACTTCTGATTCAATCAGAAGATTCAGTTCTTCTCACCGAAGGGCTCAATGTGGTGGTTGCTGTTACTGTGAAAATTACACCTAAAATGTACAAAACAAAGTAAAATAACACAGCGGCTTTACACCCCTAAGTTTATAAGGAACCATGCTGCATGCTCTTTTTATATGATGGACAAAAATGGTTGTGGTTAGTATTCATTTTGTACATTTGCAGCACTTAAAGACTGTCACATGCACATCATTGATCATCGTCTCATGATTTAAAGCTTTTGCTTTTTGGTCTGAGGGGCTCCGAAAATGTCCTGGAGAGCACTTTGTAACAGGCTTCATGAGTTTGGATTTCAGTGTGTGTCAGGTCAAGCCTGCTTAACTTCTCAGATACTTTTCTTTCTTTGAAACTTTACAATGTTTAATACAATTTAAAAGACATACAGTAGTAGCGTAATGGTCTGAAATACCCTGCCATTATGAACCGTTTTGTTTCCAGTGATAAATACTTTGAATCTTTGTCTTTTCAGAGTCTTCAATTTTACAGTTGGAAGACCCAGACTGTGAGGAGGGAAGCAACCCGCCCTGCGAGTCTGTGTTCTCACTTAATGCAGAGAAGATCTTGGTGAGATTTCAAACACTAGTCTAGATCTAGAGCAGCCATGGCCTGTAACGGTTTCCTTTAGAGTTAAAAAAAATAGTATATTTTATATATAGTCTCGTATATATATAGTCAAGGTTAAACCACAAAACCACAAAACACAGGTGTGTGTAAGCAGTTTATAAACCTTTTGAAATCTGTGTTCTAATGTTTTTTTTATGTTTTTTCCAAAGCAAGATATTCTGGTTATGTTTTAGTTTTACACACATTTTCTCTTCAGCGAGAAATAAAAAAATCATAAGTTTCAGTGGTGATCAGATACTTAAGCTCACAGTGATGGGTGTGGTTGCTTTTGGTGCTTACACATGTAACCACACCCTAAGGTGCTGTTGGAGTGTGATACTGACACCCTATAATTCACCTCTATTTCACTGCTCCAGTGTGTGAAAATAAATCTACACTGCAGGGCTTCAACTTACCATTTAAAAAGGCCCAAATTTAATGACCTGGTGAATTTTGCAATAGAATGACATTCACTGATTGTAGTGATCATATTGGATCTATGTACTCCCCCCCCCCCCAAAAAAAAACAAAAAACAAAAAACAAAAAAAAACAAACAAAATGCAGTTCCTATGCATGAAAAAAAACACA